TGTTGGTGACCTTTGAAATGCTTGCTTCAGCAGAGTGATGGGCAAGAAGCCCAGATTGCTGCGAGTTAGGGATTTCTAACATGATGAAGATTTCCAAGTTCCCAGAGCTCCTTATTGACTATTTATCTGAACATGTGGTAGAAACAGAATTTTCTTGGGAGACATAACTTAGTGACCTTAGGCTGGTTGCTTAACCACATTGAGTCTGTGATCTCCCAATATGGTGATAATAGTAATAATGTGTGTTTTTTTAATTTTTGAGAGGATAAAATGAGATTATTGTAATATAGAACAGTGGTTGGCAAACTATGGCTCCCGAGCCACATGCAGCTCTTTGGCACCTTGAGTGTGGCTCTTCCACAAAATACCATGTGCAGGTACGCATGTGCAGTGTGATTGAAACTTCGTGGCCCATGCTCAGAAGTTGGTTTTTGGCTCTCAAAAGAAATATCAATCGCTGTACTGTTGATATTTGGCTCTGTTGACTAATGAGTTTGCCGACCGTTGCCCTAGAATGATGCATGTTATGTAGTTAATACTTGAAGGTTCATTTTCTTTATTCCCCCATAATTGTTTTTATTTTATGTACTTTATCAAATTTTTTATAAATTTGTGTAAGATATGAAATTTTTAAGGATACTTCATTCCAATAATTGGTGCAAACTGCATTTGACCTGGAACTAAAATACCTTTTACTGAACCTCTGACACCTGCTTTGAAATAACATGGTACCCAGCTGGAAACTCCAAAGGGTATTGCCAAAGTCAAGGCTCTTTTAGATAGAAGTTACAGAATTCTACTCCATACAGACATAAAAAGAGATAGTTTGTTGGTTTTTGTACCCCAAGATTCCAGGTAAGGTCCAGCACCCAAAATGACTATGTCCATATCTTCTGGTTCAAACAACATTGGCAGTACCTGGAATTTCTCAGATCACCTGTATCCTACCTATTTCCAGGCGATTTTTGTTCTCAAGCATATATTTACCACCTTCAGATTTTGAGAAAAGAGAAAAATGTCCCACTACTTATAACAAAAGTCCTTGATGCAACCTCATGGTTCAGACTAGGTCACTTGCCCATCCCTGTGGCTAAGCGACTGGGATGTGCTGGTTTCCAGGCCTGGCTTAAGGAATACTCTGTTTTACAAGATACGGGAAGAATGGTTCCCCCAAAAGGAAATTCAGTTTCTGTTACTAGAAGGAAAAAGAATAGGTGCAAAGCAGGTAAAACAGCTGATTTCATTTTATTGTATAGACAAATGTGTTTTCAAACCATGCTTCTGGGAACTCTAGGTTTCCAACTGAGAGGCTTAAACAAGTTGAAGAGGAAAAGGGAGTTTCTAATCCATTCTCACTCCTTCACTTTTACGTTTTTTTTATACCCAGTTTTGGGTTAAGATTTTATTTGAAAGTGATACTTTGACAATACCATTGGTACAGGACAATTTAGCTGGTGGCTAGGTATATATATATATATATATATATATATATATATATATATATATATATATATATATATATGTAGCTAATATGCAAATTGTCCCCTTCAGATTTTGACTGGGAGACGGTGAGTTTGATCGCTTGCTATGATGTGTGTTGACCACCAGGGCGTGGCACAGAACAAAGGAAGGTACAGCAGCTGGAAGGTCCCATGGGTCCTGATCACCTATCAGGCCTAGGGACCCTACCTGTGCACAAATGTTGTGCACCAGGCCTCTAATAAAATATAAAGTAGGTGACTATCATTTCCTACTTCATGCCATTGAAAAAATTCTTGCCCTAACTTGCCTTCATCCCATTGACCCAACTCATATTTCTAACCCTATTAAGATCGAAACTTGACTCCTCCACATTCAGACATAGGAAGATCATGACATTAGGCAGAAGTCCAGTTTTCAGTTTATTGATATTAATGACACTTAAAAAATCATCAGTTACTCTTTGTTCATCAATTAAACATCCACAAAAGTTGTTGACAACTTGGTGACTCACTATGACCTGACAATTATAAAGCAGAAAATACTGATACATTCAAGAAATTTGACAGATCCTATTTGATGATATCTGCAAGCTGGGCATTTTAATATTGTTCTAGCCTTCGTCTGTGGCTTATCTTCTAGGTAATTGCTGCTTAAATTGCACTCTTAGGACTCTTATCTGTTATTGAATTTTTAAAACCTACCCAATTCACCCTTTTATCCTCCATAACAGAACTCAATGTGGCCAAATGCTTGTTTGTATAAATAAAGTTTTATTGGAATACAGACATGCCCATTACTTTCAGTCTGACTTGCTTTCATATCTGCAGAGGTGGTTAGTTAGGAAAGAGAATGTAAGGCCCATAAGAAGTAAAAACACTTACTATCTAGTCCTTTACAGAAAAAGTCATTGACCTGTGCTCTATGTCTCTATGGCTTGTAACAGAATTCCTACTTCATGACATATGTCATACTTATGAAGAAGAATCAGGTAATGTCCTTATAATACTCTCACTCTCTCGTATTTTCAAAAGTATATCTAGGGAAATGTTTTGGCCATAACTATTCCACCTGTGCTCTTTCAATTATCTGAACAACTAGAAGCCCAATGCAGGGTATTTGTGCAGAGGGGTTGGCCCCCACTGCCGCAGCTTCATCCTGAAGGTCGTCTGGAAGGACATATCGTTTAATTATCATATTATGCTTTTATTATTATAGATTTCTCTTTGTTTCTCTACCCTCAACAGGTTAGTCTTTATCTTCTAAGAATTGTCAGCTGTTTTTAAGGAGTGGGGGGTGGGGGAGGGCTGATATGACAGCTTCCCACTTAGCCTTCAAACACATTGATACACAAGCCTACAATAAGTACAAGATCCAAACACATGGACAAAAATCAGGATTTAGTGTCATTTAATTCCCCCTACTAAACCCTCTCGATTTCCTATTTGTTGTGTGTAAGCAGAGTACTTTGTGATGAAGTGATTGATCTGGGCCAGGAGGGTTGATGGAAGAGAATTGGAGAGCAGGTTTTCCCTGACCTGGTCACTGGATTCTGGAAGCAGAGCAGCCACTCAGCAGAGTAGTTAAGCTGTTCTTGAAGAAGAACGGGGATAATAATACTTCTTTCCTGCATTTTTGCAGTCTGAATGCCCTTTGGGGTGAGAGAAGTCTTCAATCCCTAGGCTTGTGAATCCCTTATCTTTCCCAAGACGTTAAATTAATTTTTAAGGCTATTTATTCAAAGTTGACTCAAGCACTAGAATAGGAAAGATCAGACAAATCAACTGCAAGAAATGAAGTATGAGAAAACCCGAACTCTTTGACAAAGTATTCCTGGGAGTAAATGTGTTGAATGAAGCCAGCGGGTAAATGATAAGGGCCTTTACACTATGGATGTAAGAAAGCAATTTATCAAGAGTACATGAATTCTCTAGTGACCACAAGTCAGGAGGAAACTAGAGTGGAGGAGGAGCCCTGAAAAACTACATTTCAAATAAGTAAAAACTGTGTGTGTGTGTGTGTGTGCATGCACTTTTAAGTACCTGCATTAATATGCAGAGACACTGGTATATTAAAATAAGCGTTAGAGTGCACATGCACATTACAGTACAGCACACACCATTATGGGCTAAGGTGGGGGAGGGAAGGGTGGGTGAGAAAGGCCAAGAAGGGGTTTAGAACTTGCAGAAACATTGGGTACTGTACTCTCAGGTATAGTTAGGATTTGAGCCTGGATGTTGTTATCTGAAAGCCACTGCCCTCACTCAAGAGATTAGATGGCCATCTTTTCAGGCTTAGGTGTTTATCTGTTTTAATCCCCAGGAGGTCCTATGTGTATAATTCTTACAGTTGATCTAAGGCTTTTGTGTCCTCTTAAGGAGTTCAAAGCACCTCTCATTCATTATCTCATTAATCTTTGCAGTAGCCTCTCTTTGAACCCTGGATAGAAGACAATGTTATTCACTTTGAAGAAACTGAGGAAAAATATAATTATATTATTTGCAATAGCATTCCCAGTCACTCAGATAAGGATGGGGACTGGAATGTATGATCTTATCTTAGCTTTAACATCTAGGGGAGAGAGATCATTTCTTAGATTTGAGGAGGAAAAGGCCTAATTAGTTGAGATATTAATTTAATTAAAATGCTTACTCTGAAAATGGTCATCCTTTCGTTTTGTGTACTGAGGTAACACAGCTGAAATTCACGGAAATTTTCAAACTTCGATTATAGTCATTGTTTTCCATTTTCATTTGACACTAAATCCTGGTCAGGGCTGTTTCAAAGATGGCTAAATTATGGCTTTTGTTTGTCCTGGGTAACTTTTATAGAACATGCCAGTGAACACTAAACTAAATCTCACAGGTGAAACAGCAAGAGGTAAAATTGGGAGACACAAGTCTCTGGATAGTCTCCCTTTGCTAGTAATTTAACTTGAGAGCCCTACTCTGATGTCAGCTTTCCTTGTTATTCCTTTTAAATGAGATCTTTTAGGCCCCAGTATTCTGAAGAACATGCTTCACTTCCTCTTTAAACCATTCAGGTTTTATAAGAGGTGGGATTTATTTTTTTTTTAAGTGATATTGGTTGAGCCTCTTCTTAGGACATAAGATGGAAGCTGTTTTTTTTTCTTTGGTGGGGGAAGAGAAGACACCATGATAACTTGGGCTGCACCATAATTCAGTTAGCAAATTAATTAGTCTGGCTTAGAGAACCAGCCACAGCCATTTAGAAAACATCCTCAGTGGCTCTCTTTCTGAAAGTTGAATACACGTTTTTGTGTTTTCTCACTATCTTTTGCAGTCTGCAGTGCATAAACAAAAACAGGGTGGAGGTGGGAAGAGAACTATTTACTTTGCAAACTCTTGCCTAAAAACACTCCTGTGGTTTTCCTGTGGTGACCTGCAAGCCTTGGAAATGGAGCCCTGATAACTTCCAGTAACTTGCTTCTGCTTTGTCTGCCCTCTCCCTTTGTCTCTTTATTCCCATCCACCTCCGGAACCTCGGTGGGACCGCCACAGCCTTGGATAAGCTCAGCACCCAGCACCTGTACCACCCCACGCAAGTGGAGATCGTGCAGTCCAACGTGGTGTTCGACATCAGCAGCCTGATGCTCTACGGGACACAGGCGGTGCCCGTGCGGCTCAAGATCCTGCTGGACCGGCTCTTCAGTGTCCTGAAGCAGGAGGAGGTGCTACACATCCTGCACGGCCTGGGCTGGACGCTGCGGGACTACGTCCGGGGGTACATCCTTCAGGTAGGGGGAGGACGCTGAAGCTGGCGTCTGTGGCCAGCTCTGGGAGGGGTTGGGTGAAAGCCCTTGGCAAACAAACCTGGTCTCCTTCCTGCCTCCCGCAGTCCCAGGCAGGCAGGCAGGCACACCCTCTCCTGGTTAAAAATGGTGCTTTTGGCAGACTTGCGGGGGAATTGGAAAGAAGGAGTGATGTCCCAGCAGGCTGACATCAGGCTCCGGTGGTGTGCCTTCGGAAGGAAACAGTGGCCTGTTGCCTAGGGTTGCCTTGTTGGCCTCTTTTTGAATCCAGCGCTCTCTCTCTCTGCACCACGAGCTCCCTGGCTTCTCCAGCCAAGTCTTGCTGCAGCCCTACGCCAGGGGAGGGCTCTTTGAGGTGGGTGATGCCTGAGTGGAAATCCGAGATTACATTTCATCTGGGTTTAGGAAGGCTTGTTCTCACCCTTAATTTGTAGGTTTGGTGTTTTGTTGGTTGTCTGTGCACCCGAACTAATTATTGCTTCTTCGTCCAAATCAAAGGGAGAACTGTAATGTCTATAAATTCCCCACTTTTGTAACCAGTCAACCTTCACACTCCAAAACATGCAGGCGCGCTCGTAGATTTTGCCTTCATAGCACCTGCTCTTCCAGCCCGAACCCCCTCTTTGTGTCAGTAGGTCTAAAAGCTCTTCTGGGAGGCCCACAGCCTCGACCAACCCTCCCTCCCCCCAGCCTCCCTGCCCCCTCGCATCTTATTTTGCAGTTATGAGTAGGTTTTGCATTGTGTACTTTGCCTCTGAAATGTGTTTTATGGCCATCTGTCTTCCTACAACCCTTGAAGGGTAAATGGTTGAAAACAGCATGTTGGGAGACTCCAGACCCCAAAAGACTCTCCCTCCTGCCAGAGCAGAGCATAGTGGCAAAGGTAGACTCTGAAGTGACTTTTGAAATTTCCTACGGGGATAATACCAGGAGAACTGAGCCCTTCCAAAAGAACTGCTTTTGGCTCTGCCAGCCTGTTTATTCCCTGAGTTATCTTGTGCTGTGTGCAGGGCCCCGGCTGCCAGCTTGGTATGTGAGGAGCAGGGCCCTCCCACGAGTCTTCCCTTGCTGTAACCTGGCATCAAAACACACATTCCTGTCATTCTCCTGTGTGGTCCCCCCAGGTGTTAGCCAGGGCAAGAGAGCCGGGGAGGGGTGGTGAGTGAGCTTAGAGAAAGAGGGGAAGTGGGATAATCTTTCTGCGCCCAGGACTGCTAGAGGAGGCAGAGAATCATATTTTTTCTTTTAGTAAGATGTCAACTTGGAAGGCACAGAAAATGTGGCCTTCTGAAGATGAGAGGATGATGCTAATAGGAATAATCATATATTACATTTTCAGTATACAGGAGACTTTCACAAGCATTCTCTCCTTTGCCTCAGGATGGGGACATTTCAGTGGGGTGAGTGGAAAGTTAAGTCCTGGGTGATCAGAGGAACTAAGGGGGCACAAGGTCCAGGAGGAAGGGCCAGGAAAAGCAAAGCATGAGGCCAGTTTAAGGATCCCTGATTCGCTGCCTCAAGACACATCCAGGCCAAGTCTTTCTGCAGACGTTTCCACAACGTGACTATTAATGTCCATTTTGGGTTGATTCTGTCCTACAACAGTGGTGGGGAGCCTTTTTCTGCCAAAGGCCATAGGGATATTTATAACATCATTCATGGGCCATACAAAATTATCAACTTAAAAACCAGGCTGCTGTATTTGGTCAGACATTTAATTAGCTCACCCCTAATGCCTTGGCAGGGCCAGACCAAATGGTTTCAGGAGCCTTCTACAACCCTTGTAGACATTCCCTACCCCTTTCCGACAGAAAAGAACAAGCCTCTTGCAAATGGTGGAGTGGAACTGTTAGCTAGGTTCAGCACCTTTTCCTTTATTTACTGAAGTATTTTGCCCCAATCAAGTATAGTCCTTTTTGCTTCCACTTCGATGCTTGTTTGTTTGATCAATGCCATATTTCAGTTCTACATGCGTATGTTTGCGTAAGCTATGGGGAGCATATGCATGGTATCTCCCTGTCCAAACAAATAGATATTTGCATGACTGTGATTCTTTGCAACAACCCAGTTACTGCAGCACTTGATTGTCAGTAAATATCAAACCTTTTGGATGTTCTGTGGTGCGGTCCTAATGTTCTTCCTTGACTTGTACCTATTTTTTGCTTTACTTGAAATTATTAAAAATGTTGATCCCTCCTCATAAAAAAAATTCCAACATAGCTGTAAGGCAAGCATAGAATACTCTATATTTCATTTTTTTAAATAAGGGCTCAGGTTTTAAAGATACAAAATTGCAAGAGAAATTAATGTGAAAAAAAATTCACCAAAACCACAAACTAAGCATTTATAAAATCTCTTATTATTGAGATCAAGTATTGCATATAAAGAGCACTGTCATTTTCTGTTATACTTAAATTATGATTAATTTTCATTAAATTTAATATGCATTTTGACAAAGTCTTAAATTTAATCTATTTCTCCATTCGGAGTCTAGAATTGACATTTTGAGAAAATCATAGATGATTTTTACATTAGAGGAACACTAGGTTTAGTTCCTTTCCTGTTTATTGATAGAATTGATATAAAATAGATTTTATTTAAATGATGCTTTTTGTTATTCAGCATTTATTATCGACATACTCCTTTGGAGAAAAACAGTTCTTGGTTTAGAAAAAAGCAAGCTTTTGGAGAACACAAAACTATTATCACTTGTGTAGTGAGAAAATGCTCATTTAAAAAATAATAAAATAAATTCCCCAAAACAAGAGCTAGACTATACAAATAAACCCTTTTTCTCTAAAGCAATGTTATTTGACTATTGGTCAATATTTTTAAATTATATGTAGTAATGATAAAGCATGCACAAATGCCTTAGAATATAATTATATATGACATTTTTGTATAAGTAGACTATAAAAAGTGCATCTATAGGTTGTGGAACCCTATGATGCACTATTAGTGTACAAGTCATTTTATCTGGCTAAAACTCAATTGCCTTGTAGCCCTCAAGGCATCAATTTTAGCATTATTGCTCTCAACAACAGTATATTGAATATTATGTCAGTTAAAGGAGAATAATTATCAAGTCAAGTTACGGTGGCTGTTAGTCTTACCACATATTGACTTGGTTAGCAGTTGGCTATAGATTGTGTTACTGGGAAATGAAGATGTACGGGGAGTTGAACTGGGCCAAACCTCCATCCCTAATGTATACACAGCTACTCCTGGTTTCAGAGATGGTTTTGAATGTGGAAAAACAGCAGGTGTGTAATTGGATTTTGAATTTTTGGTGTCGGATGTGGGGGGGAAAGAGGATCATGCCATTCACAGTATCATTTGCAAGCATGTATGAAATGCTTATTTAAAGAAAGAGGGGGATGGTAGTGATGTCACAGATTCATTTTAAAAGACTAGTAATACCTTTGAAGAATTCTGTATTGTTTTGATAAAAATTACTGTTCATTTATGTGATTATCTAATGTAACTCATTAGCTAGCCAGCTGGGTGTAAAGTGCATAGTATATCTTGGACAACAGTGATTTAAGATTCTAGGAATATCTTAAAGGTAAACAGTCCAGTATTCTCCCGTGTACCAATTAAACTATTCATTATTAAAGTACAAAAAATAATGAGATCAATTTGAAGTCTTTTTCTACAAAGTAGCAATAAAAAGAAATACACAATTAGATGCTAAAATCTAAATATAAAGGGAAATAATTTTTTTTTTCTGCTAAGGACTAATTCATATTTCAAGTCTGTATTTCAGTTATTTTCCCTGTCTTTGGCCTAGGATATAAATGATAGGTGATTATCATTGTTGAATGTAACCATTTAAAAAATCAAGTTTTCACTGTCTCTGTTCAGTTTGAATTTGTAACTGAATTGCCTGGGCTCAGACACCAGCCTGTCCTGTGGAAATCTCCTTTGCAAATGAGACATGCCAGATTTCAGGGAACCATGTCAGACACTCTGAATAATTAACTGAGGCGTCTGGCCTTGTGAGAGAATGAATAGTGATGCACTTTTCAAATCACCTGAGTCTTGAAACAATCAGAACTAATAGAACAATCAGCACTTTAGAGGATCATGTCCCAGAGTATTGGGGATGGTTTGAGGGGGGAGCATTAGTCTCCTGGGGATTTGAGATTTGACTTTAAATTTTGGAGGAAGTACACTCTTGCTCCTTCTCTTAGAGCCTCTTTATAATGTTAGCATAATAAGGGCTCTGGGGTGTGCTGGAATAAGTGGTTTGTGAGAGTAGGTAAGAAGCTTCCACCAGCCTTGCCCACTGAGTAGCCTTTTTCTGTCCAGCTCATAAGAAGTCTTCAATTCCCAAACACACTCAGCTCTTCTTCAATTTGGCCTGTTTGTGAGCACAGTTTCTTCGGCCTGGATTCCTCTACTTCTCTCTCTGCGTGGGCAATTTCTTGTCTGTTAGGGGTCAGCCCCACTTTTTCCCAGATACCTATTCTGTGCAGCTTAACCAATGCAGATCTTCTCCAGAGTGGCTCTGTTTAAGGATTCAGTTTCCCTTAAGCTCTAATCCAAATTAAAATTAATCAATTAAATCAACTGTTAAAATGTTTGTTTTTCCTCCTGCTTCCTCATTAGGGAACACTGCAAAGGCAGGGTACTCAATAAGTATCTGTTAAATGACAGGGAAAAGAAACCTGCTTAACCTGGCAGAACTTGCTATTTCACCATGGAACTCGCGGGATATATTCAGTCACTTCATTAGGTCCAAGGGCCCTTCATCTTCCTTCAGGCTTCCCAGGGACTAAATTCTGTGACCACAGCTGGGTTGGTGAAAGCATTAAGAAGAGAATCAAGAAGTCTAGAGGTCTGTATAGAATAAGTGTTTTGTGGTAGAAAAACATCAATATTAAGCAAACACTTGCATCTAAACAGCCCTTTGTGCAGCAAGTTCCCATAATTAGTTAGCTTTTTGAGTTCCCAGTGAATTAGCATTTCAAGTAGTTGAAGCT